GAACACAAGCAGGGGGAGTGGCAGAGGAAGAGGGAGAAGCAGGCTGCCCCCTGAGCAGGAAGCCCGATGCGGGGCTCGATCCCAGGACCCTAGGATCATGACCTGAGCCACAGGCAGATGCTTCACTGACTGAACCACCCAGGTGCCCCAAGCCAGGCTGTCTTGATTCGAGGGCTGGGGGTGGGGGGGGGGGGGGGCGGGGTTCACTTGAAGAGGGATGGGTGGGAGGCCAGCCGTGAGGAAGGCTCAATGTGGGCTCCAGGACCTGCCTCCTAGAAACAGCACAATATGCATTTTATTGCCTCTTTGCTTCTCCCGGCAGGGTGCTGGCCCCCAAGTGTGCAGCCTGTGGGCTTCCCATCCTTCCACCTGAGGTAAGAAGCTTTTTCAGGCCTGTTCCTGGCGTCTTCCATGACACGAATATCTCCCTGGGATCATCTACAAGATCTGTGTCTTGTCCTTACGCCTTTGACAAAATCCTTCTGAAATCTCACCTCTGACCTTAATGGTGTCCTCACCAAGAAGCCCCTTTCTTCTTGGCTGGCTTCCCCAGCCCATTGCCCTTCGTGTGCCCTATTCGTCCCTATAATCAGGTCAAACTCCCTGACTTGATAGTGACTCCCAGATTAGAAGATGAGCAGAAATCTTGCCTTTCATTCATTTTTTTTTTAAAATCACTCTCCACGTAGGTGGTTTTTTTCAGTGTTGACTCTGACATTCCAGAAGGTAGAACTGCTGTCCCTCCTCCTTCCTCTCTCATCAGTTAAAAGTTGGGTCCCCCAGCTGGCCTCTTGTTCTTCCTTTCATTCTGTCCAGGGCTCAGATGAGACCATCCGTGTCGTGTCCATGGACAGAGACTACCATGTGGAGTGCTACCACTGTGAGGTAGGCCCCTCCCTGCCCAGATGCCCAAAGTACAAGAGAAGAGCATCCCCGGGTTGACTGGGGCCTGAGATGGTCAGCAAGGTGTGGTCAAGGGCTGCCCTCCAGGTCAAGGGGTGAAGCCTGCCTTGTAGGGGAGGTTGGAGGACACGCACATGTTTGGGACGTAAAGATCATTGCTGTTTCCTCCACGTTGGTTAACTGCCAAGTCCTGAAACCATTGCAGTTGGCTCCCTGAGGCCACAGAGTGGGCGGCTCACGGGGACCACGGGTTTCACATGCCACATTGTCAGGCAGCTGTGTGATCTGGGGAACAGACACCCTCCCCTCCAGCTTATAGGCTGTTCTATCTGCCAAGAACCCCTTTCTGAGCTGACCCCTGGAAATCATGAAGAAATCCGCCCCTCCTTGGAAACAGGCATGGGTGGTGTGAAGGTGGATGGGGACCCATGTGCCCCCTCTTTACCTTGTGTCATGCCCGGGCGGGTGCTCCATGGCTATCAGGCAGGCCTGGGGTTACCCCTCCCCGCCCCTCGTGAAGGTTGCGCACACTTTAAGCGTCCGTGGGGTTTCAGCCAGAATTAAGTGGATTCACCCAAGGAAGGACAGTAGATTTATTTCGTGACGCTGTGGGTGGGGTGAATGGGAGAGGGGTGGGGGCGAGGTGGGGAGCTCACTGCTAGCACCAGGCGCCGGAGAGCAAGGGGCCGTCTGCTCACTACAGTCTTCACTCTGCATTCAGGCCAGCGCTGGCCCACAGAAACCCGAGAGCCACGGGTCCAAGTCACGAGTGTCATTTTGTTTTCTAGTAGTCACATTAAAAAAATAAAGCGAAACAGATGGGATTCATTCTTTTAATATTTTATTCAACCCGTATATCCAGTTTTCTTTCAATATGTGTAACCAGTATGAGGGATCTCTCATGAACAGTCTTATATTCATTGTTTGCCCTAAGTCTTGGAGGTACAGCATAGGGATCCACCAACATCCCATTTCCGTTCCGACCAGCCCCGGTTCAAGTGCGCGTTGGGGGCGTGTCATGCTTTCACTCGGCAGGACTGCCCGGTTCTGCACCGGCATTCGCTGCCCGCACAGTCCGCTCTGCTGGTCTCCGGGACGTCGGCCTTTGGGTCAGTCTTGCAGTCCTTTCTGTGCTGTCCTGCTACCACTGGGCCTTTTTGCCTCCCCTAGGACTGCGGTCTGGAGCTCAATGATGAAGACGGTCACCGCTGCTACCCCCTGGAGGACCACCTGTTCTGTCACTCCTGCCATGTCAAGAGACTGGAGCAAAGCCCCTCGTCTGCAGCTCTTCACCAGCACCGCTTCTAGCCGGAGCCACTCCCAGGCGTCCCGTGGGAGATGACAAGACATCTGCCTGTTAGTTCCAGCGGCCCCCGGGGCGGAGCCGGGGTCGGGGGTGGGAGAGGGGTTAGGCAGGTAAGTTTCTGCATATACGCCTGGGGTGCCTTTCCTTGAACCAGGGAGCTGAGCCCTACCTGTGTGGCATGTGTATTTTCCAAGTGCCTTTCTGCTCCGCAACGCCCTGTCACATTACTCAGGAAGACACTCCAGCCGCGTGTGGCATGTGACAGGGGATCGCATCCGTGCAGCCGAAGGCACTCTCCAGCCCCTCTCGGATGGAAAGGGTCGCAGTGAGCGTGTTTCACAATATCCTCTGAAGACAGATCTCAGCTGCCGATCCATGCAGCCCTCTCCTGTCCCTTGGGAAAATTCCCACATCCAGACGCTATCCGCCCCCCCCCCGCCACCGCATGCACGTACACAACATGATTTAAGACTGCATCCAGACACGTGCGTGCGCACACACACACACACAGCATTATTTAAGACTTCCTGCCACCCCAGAGACTCAGTTCTTCTTTCGAATGGTTGCACATTTTCATTGCATTATGGCAAGAGGGAAGCTCTCGCGGGTGCTATCTTAGGAAGAATTTGCTTACTAAACCAGAGCCAAGTTTTGAAATGAGTGAGCCAGGCAGGGTTTCCTCCTGGTACGCTGACCGCGTTTTGTGTGCCCCTGCAAATCTTCACTCCCTTAACGGCAGCTGGGAGCCCGATGGAGATTTGCCCTGTTCCAGCAAAGTGTGCTTTGGACCGAGGGCTTGGTGCAGGCCCCAGGCCCCCTTTGCCCAGCTGTTTACACTGTTTCTCTCTGGAGCTCTCGAGAGTCTGCGACTCCGGAGTCGCTCCCACAAAGGCAAGTCTCAGGATCCCACGTGGGGACATCTCTGTGCCTGTTTTAGCTTCTTTAATGAACCACGGGGTTTGGGCCGTCCTGCCCACCTGCTGAGAACTAGCCCCCTTCTCCACGGGGGAGAGTGTGTGTGTGTGTGTGTGTGTGTGTGTGTGTGTGTGATCTCTAAGCAGCACAGGAGGGGGTGCTTCCGGATAGATGAGTGTGTTCACCTCGCACGGCTCTCCCTCACCCAATTCTGGGCACAGGCAGTGACGTGGGAAGAGACCCGTATAAGGTACACTGCTCTTGTCTGGGTTTTCTTCTTGTTTTTAATCGTCTCCCCCCGTTCTCAGTCTTCCACACACACAAAATACCTCACAGATAAGAGCTTCGCCAAACCGCAGATGAGGCATTTGGCCATTGCACTGACCTCCCAGGCCTCCGTCGGGGCGTGCGGAGTCTCTGCCTCCACGCGGGCCAGACAGCAGCCGCTCCGGGCACGGGCTGCCAGTGGGTCGGAGGGCACGTGGGTGTTACTGCCCTGATGCAGTTCATCAGGCAGGTCCCCCCGGGGTGGGAGGGCCACGCACCGGCCGGAGTTCAAGGCCGCCTGTGCACTCAGGAAGCACGGCTGGCCCAGCCTGTCACACACTCCCGAGGCCGGACGTCCGTATCCCTGGTATTCCAATGAAAAGATGGTGTAACAGAAAAATAAAAAAGAAGGCTGGCTGGCATTTGCCCTCTCAGCCCGTGGGGAGGGCCCGCCGGAGGGCAGGGGCCGGCCTGGGAGTATGGCACTGGCGTCGGCTGTCCGCCTCGTCACCTCACCCCCAGGGCAGCAGGGGGCCACGGAGGGTGGGCGGGGGGGGGGCGCGGAGCCCAAGGCACGTGGGACTCGCAGACTTGTCAGTGGGCCCGGCTCCCGACGCGAGGCCGCGCTTTGATTCATTGGGTAGCAGCTGCTCTAAGATGTACAGAATTGGCCCCGAGAGTTGTCTCCTGTTCTTATATTCACTCTGTTAGATGGCCAGATGTCACTTCAGCCCAGGCTGTGGGCTTTCGTCGATTCTGTGGCACAGGCCAAGCCTCCAGAAGCCCGTGGATACGTGCGGCCGGGGGAGTGAACCTTGGGGCTGAACCCCTCTCTTCCCGGAGTCCCCAGCTCGGCTCTGGCAAGGCTGGCCGGGACGGGGCGGGGGGGGGGGTGTCTTCACTTGGCTTTGCCAACCGAGGAACGTTTCTGGCCTTGCTGACCCACCTTTGCTGCCCTTGCGAGTCCAGCAAAAGTGCAGAAAATTGCCCGAGAGCAACTGCCAGAAACGGACTTGTTTGCAAATTGGGCAACTAGTTTTTTAAAAAATCTGTGATTAATTTTTTAAATGATATGTTTTAAGTGGCCTTGATGGAGGTGATTCAGATAATCTGCAAATACGGTGTTTTCTACTGTTGAGGAAAGAACAATAAGAGACTTTCCAGAAGCCCAAGAAATCGGGGCGGCGAGTTGTAGGAATCTCGCGCCAGTTCTGTTTCTCAGGCTCTGGCGCTAAAGCCACGAGGGAGATGGGTCACCTGCGTGGTATCTTAGATATTCTGTAAGCTGTTAGCCAAACAGAATTGTAACGGGGTTGTATTTATAGGCACCTAGAAAGGAGACACAAGGACCCGGTAGACCAGGAGGAATTCGTTTCTTTTAAAAGGTAGAGCGGATAGCCCTTCCTGAGTTCCCTAGATAGCTCTTGGACTTAGATAAACAAGGAGAATTAAGGTCTGATGGCAGACCCCAAGGCCAGCCTCCAGTCTTCCCCCCTCCCCCGCCTCATTTGGCCCATAGTTTTTCCCTCCCCCCAGCGAGGACCATTCAAAAGCTGCCAGGGGGGTCTGAGGAAAGCCAATGACCTGGTTTGGCCTGCCCTTCTCTCTCTCATGTTCTCCCACCTGCGGCTGGGGAAAGAGTGACGCGGTCACCTCTCACCGTGGGAGGGCATTACGCCCTGTCTGGGTCATTGCCCGTACATGGCAACAGGACTTCCCACTTCTCCGTGGTCAGTGCTCGAGTGAGAGCCTCTTTCGGCCGAGTCCACTGAGGTGGGGCCACCAACCACGTGTGCAGGACTTGACCCCACACCAACCTTGTTGCAGGACGCACTCGTTGCAACGCTGTCTGCCAGGAAACCCAAGTTCTTTGTAGTCTCCTCCGTGCCAGGAATCAGTTCTCATTTCCAGGTTATTTGAAGTCAGTCTTAAAAGGAGTAGAATACAATGAGTAAAATATATTAGCTATCGTTCTGAGCCGGAACTGGACAGATGTGGGAAATTTCCGTATAGTGTGTGAAAATTTCACCATGCAGGGAAATTATTTTTCTCTGTATCTCTTCTTTTCCTATAAAAATTATTCAAAATTGTACTGTTACTATAAATTCTTCCAGCTATTGTTACTACAGAATTACTCAGAATTGTACTGTTGCTATAAGATTATTCAAAATATCATGCCAATAAACTGCATCAATTTGTAGACGATTAAAGTGCTCTCCAACACAATGATGCTTATTGGGTTTTCTTCTGTGTGTGTGGAAGTAAGCAGACAGTGCTTCTCGCTAACTGGATTTGGTCTTCTCTTAGAGCTCTGGATCCTTAAGGGAACACATGGGTGTCAAAACTACAAAAGGTCCCAGATTTTACCCTCCTTGCCAGCTAATAAGGTAGCACGTCATGGTTTCATGGAACGTGGCGGAAGTTATGAGACTCCTAGGTCAGAGACAAAAGGACGGGTGAATGCAGCACCAGCCAGGAGCACTTTATCAGCATTTTATCAGCATTTGAGGTTTTAATCAGCATTTACACTGACTCCCTGAGCTGTCGTCCCTCTAGGGCCCCATGAAGAGGTGCCCATACTTACAGTGGGCTGCATGACAAGAGGACACCCGAGCCTAGGGAACCTCAGTCTTACAATGATGGGTAAGCCTGCCTGAGTGTTGTTCCAGAGAGAGACTCTGTGTCTGCCACCCGAGACGTCCTAGAAAAGACAGTCTGGAACTAAGGCAGTCTAGCTCACAGGATGTGCTGGAACGTGAGTGACCCCTGGAGAATCATTTTCCAAGAATTGGCAGTTCCTTCCCCCGGGTCCTTAACATTGAGACACGAGGTCGTGCTGCAGGGGTGGTCGCTCCGTCTCCTTTTGTGTATGTTGTTTTTTTTCTAAGGAGTTTCTGATCACAGAATCCCAGAGGTGAGTGGCCCTCTGGATTTGAGGCCAGCACGCACAGGAGGGCGGCGCTTGCAGAATGAGGGGGGCTGAGTGTGTGCTTGGAGTCCCTGGGGTAGGAGAGGGGGTCCGGGGGCTCGCCTTTCACTGCTCAGTCCAGGGGCTGCTTCAGGCTTCAGGTTAGTTCTAGTGGCTGCCAGGGACCTGGGAAAGCGAAGCATGAGGATACTGACAGCGGTGGTGTCTTACTGGAAAATAAAACCTCTTTTTACGTGATGAGAGAGCACGTATACTGATTTCACAAATCAGTTTTCCTAGGACCCTGATGCCACAAGGGATGAGACCACAGTCAGGGGAAAAGGTGGCCTGGGCCGAGGTATGCCGGTGCCCCAGCTTTGGGAGGTGGTGATGAGGCCCTGATTTGCAGTGTTTGCTGGTTTCTATGATGTACGTCTTCCCCTCATGGCCAATTTCAGGTGATCCGCATGACATCTTTGAACCTGGTCGTGGGACGAGATGGCACGGTCAGGAGCAGACGCTAGCCAGCTCAGGCCTTTGGGCCATTTGGGGCTGAAGCAGTGGGGAAATCTGCTTTGGTCTTAAGTTCCCTGATTAAAGCAGTAACAACAGTGGCAGCTGACATTCCATTGTGTGCTCACCATGTACTAGGTACTATTCTTGGGGCCCTATTCTTTATAATCTTTTAGTTTATGGACAAAGGGAGAGAGTGAAGCAGGCTTCCCACTGAGCAGGGAGCCCGATGCGGGGCTCGATCCCAGGACCCTGGGATCATGACCTGAGCCGGAGGCAGACGCTTAACCGACTGAGCCACCCAGGCGCCCCTTGGTTTCTTATTGCTTCTGGGACAAATAACCAAATTTAGTGGCTTAAAACAACACACATCCCATGGTTCTGGAGAAACGGGTCTTCTAGAGGTCATATCAGGGTGTCAGCAGAGCCAAGTTCCTTCTGGAGGCTCTGGGGAGAATCTGTCCTTTGCCCTTTTCCAGCTTCTAGAGGCCACCCGCACTCCCTTGGCTTGTGGCTCTGTCTCTGAAGTCTGTTGTCACACCTCCCCTCTCTCTTCCCCTCCTGCTGCTTTCTTGTAAGGATTCATGTGATTACTCTAGGCATGCCCATGTGGTCTTGGATAATCCCCGTCTCGTCTCCGGACCCTTAACTAATCACATCTGCAAAATCTCTTACTTTGTGGGATAAGTTATTCAGGGGTTCTGGGGATTAGACCATGGACATCTTGATGGGGGAGTACTACTCGGCTCACTACAGAGTCCAACAAACTTTTTAGGTGGGATTATTAGGTGCATTTTCTTCAAGCATTGCTAAAAGTGGGGTTCACATTTTCCCTGGGTTAAAAACCGAAGTGCTTCATATATGAAAGTGATTTGGACCTTGGATTCTGGGTGTAAAATCAGAATAGGCCATACTCTGCGGCAGGGGTGGGAATAAGCCAGTGGTCTGGTCCAGAAGAAGGTTCCAGGTATGTGACTGCTGCAAATGTAACACTTTTAGGAGAAGCCCTGGTTACCTAAGGCACTCCCATCACTTGGTTATACATGCGTCCCTCCAACTGATCCAAGCCCACAAGGACAGGTGGCTGTGGGCCCTGAGTGACCTGGCCCACAAGCAGGCTGGTGGTAGAGGGGAAGTGAGGAAATGCACCCAATTTGGAGACTTGGCAGGAAGGCAACCCCACAACAGACTAACGGATCAAAATATGTAAGAGCTACATTTGGGAGCCACACTCCCCTCTAGAAGCATGGACATAAAAGCAGGCTGCAGAGATCATTTGTATAGTGCCAACAAACCTCATCTGCAGCTAGGATTGCTTCCATGGGAAGCCCCTTGGCAGATTTCGTAAAAAAATTGTATTTGTATTCACATAGGTAACATAATTTCACTACAGGAAAAACGTGGCTAAAGGTGTCCACTCATATTACTTATCCTTGCCTGATTTCTTATCCTGAACATTGTTCTCCTTAGATCGGATTTTGGCTTGTTAGGCATTGAAAAGCCCCAGAAGAATGTGTTTCTGCCTGGATTAGTTTCCATTTTCCATTCTCACTGAGCGTTCACAAAAGCCTTGGCCTGTATTACGCAACTGGCAAAGAAGGTTCAACCTTTGTGTCTCTTTGTTCTGCTGTGAATAGAACTTCTACATGGTGACGTGTTTAGAGTCCAGGCAGGAGCTCTCTGCAGGGTGGTGGCTGTTCCACTAGAAGCATTCTTTTCTTAAAGCCTTAAGAGGTAGGCTGCAACTTATATTCCCATTTTATTAAAGGAGAGTAAACCTCCAAGAGCCCACAGCTGGTGAGTTGAAGCATCATCAGGACTTAGAGATCTTCTGACTGAAGGCTGAGGTGCACACGTGATTGTCATTCATGCCCAGATCCGGAATCACCGAGTCCACTCACGTGGTCACCCTCTGGTGCACAGTAAGCTCAAGGCCAGGATGGCTTTGGGGTCGAGAGCCCAGACTCAAGTTCTAACTCAGGCTCCACCACTTAATTGCTCAATAACCTTAAGCAAATTTAGTTCCCACACATGTGAAAATGGAGATAACTGAACTTGCTTTATAGGATTGTTGTGGGATTGATTGAATTAGTCCAAGCAAAGAGTTTAGAGCCCTTAATCACTCAAGAAGAGTGATAGGCTTTAAGACTTAGTTGATCTTCCCACTGGGAGGACCAAAAAATAAATTACAAACAGATTAAATGGGAAAAGCAATACAAACACAAAAAAAATTTTGAAAAGACCACATATGCCATAGAAGATACCATAAAGTGAAATATTGGCAAATGGGAATATATAGTAGTGAAAATTACATTAGGTTCAAAAATATTGAAGGAAAAGGTAAATGATAAACTGGGAGAAGACTGCATTGTGTTTGAGAGCCAAAGAATTAATATCCTTTATATATTAAAAAATCTAACAGACCTAAGAAAAACAATACACATACATCAAGAGAATAGATGCATCAAGTAATATATGTAAAAAGAAGTTCCGTTTTTCTATTATGAAAATTGCAAAGAAATCATAATGCAACCTATAATACTCAGTGTTGGTTAGCAAGCAAGAAAACAGATGCTGTTAATGGAAGTGTGTTGGTTTTATTTTTTTTGGAGGGCAATTTGAAAATATGTTCCAAGTCTCTTGGGCGCCTGGGTGGCTCAGTTGGTTAAGCGACTGCCTTCGGCTCAGGTCATGATCCTGGAGTCCCAGGATAGAGTCCCACATCGGGCTCCCTGCTCGGCAGGGAGTCTGCTTCTCCCTCTGACCCTCCCCCCTCTCATGTGCTCTCTCTCAAATAAATAAATAAAATCTTTAAAAAAAAAAAAAAGAAAATATGTTCCAAGTCTCAAAATGTCCACCTGATCATTCCACATCTAGAAATTTATAAGACACATCAGAAATAATCCAACACAGCATTATCTTTAAAAAGTGTTAAATTGACAACCCAAATTCCCAACAAGAGGGTAATGCTTGAAATTGTCTAGTTCTGGGATGGGGTAGCTTCAAAGTATATTTAATGACCTTAAATCTCAGACAGAAAGCTAAGGGGACAAAATGGGAACACAAAGACATTTCTAGTACAACCCCAAATTTGGAAAAATACGTGGGCAGGTATATCCATATTAAAAAGCCTGGAAGCAAAAATATCGAAAAGGGAAAAAAAAATTTATTAATAGCAACGATCTCGGGATGGGAACTCACATTATTTTTATCCCAAATAGTTTTCTGTATTTCACAAATTTTCAATGAAAAGGAGGAAAAAGAATGTCATATTGGAAAGATTAATTGATCGATGCCCGGTGTCTTGGCCAGTCCAAGGGTTCGAGTCCGCTTTCCTTCGCAGAGGTTTCGTGACTTCGGAGGTCTTCGAGCCTCTGGCATAATCTAATACGCCAGATAACCTGGGGGTGATCTCACCGTAAAAACACGCATGTTTTAGGGCATCCCAGGGAAACCTGAGGGCCAGGCGGCCTTTGCACGAGGAGCCCTCCGAGGACAGGGCTGCGGGGGAGCCCACGACGTCCCGGGAAACGGGCTGCGCCGCTATTCACGTCACTACGGGGCTCCCCGCCCCAGGGAAGAAGGCCAGACCCGCTGCCTGGAATCCGCTTCGGTGTCATCAGGTGGCCAACCTCCGGCCATAGCGCGCCCCCCCCGTTCCAAACGGCCACCTTTTCAGAGGTGTCTTCCTGTATGTACCCCATCTATCGGGACGCCTGCATCATCACAGGAAGCTCTGCAATTTTACAAACCACCTCACACAACTCCGGGTGCCAGACACAGCTGAAAAGATAACATTTCAGGC